TCTGAGCGATCGTGCCAGGCTGCGTCTCACGTATCAGCCCGGCTAAGTCACTTTGCAGACAAGGCGCGCAGAGGTGAGCGGGCTGGTCCGGGCGGCCCAGCACGTGAGCCGCGGAGCGGGTGGGGCCGCCGGCCAGGTCCGGCCGGAGCTTTGGAGGTGACCGCCAGGCCCTGGGCCCGCACCCCTGGGCTGTCCCGTGGGGCTCCCAGCAGGGGGCGCCCCGAGCCCCGTCCTGGGTCCCCGGGCGCGCGTCCAGCCGGCGCCTGGGACGGGGCTGGCCGCTCCGCCCCTCGGCTCCTCCGCGGCGGGGCGGGCGGGCGGCCCGAGGGCGCCGGAGCGCGAGGAGCAGAGCGGAGCCAGCGCCGCGCACCCCGCACCCCGCACCGCGCACCGCGCACCCCGCACTCCGCACCCCGCCGCGCCCCCTGCCCGCCGCCGCGCAGCCTTCCGCCGTGAGTAGCGCCCGACGCGCAGGACGGGGCGCACGCCCGCCGCCGCGGTGCCCGGGGCTGGGTTGGCGGGGGAGCCAGTTGCCCGGGGCGCGCACCCTGTGCTCTCCGAGCCCGCAGCCCGGGCTCCTGACGCCGCCCGCGGGTCTGGCCGGCGGTGGCCTGGGCGCTGTGGCCTCGCCGGACCTGCCCGCGGCACCCCCGGGGCACACTCCGCAGCCTGGTGGTTTGACTCAGGGGCCGGGAGGCGGTGGGCAGAGGCCTGGCACCCAAGCAGGAGGTGGGAAACAGACCTCCTTCCATTAGGTTAGAGCCCTTGGACGGGGGCGAGGACCCCAGATTTCTGGGAAAAGAGGAGCCAGGTTTCCTCAGCATCCGCCGCCTCCTCCTCGCAGGACTCCTTCTCCCCCAGCTTCGCAGGTGATGCTGGAGGCTGCTCAGCGCACCGCCAGCCTCCTGTGCGGCAGGATGGACCTCTGAGCCCTGTCATCCGGACCCCGGCCTGGGGCAGAGCTGGGGTGGGCTGGGGGATGAGGGAGGAAGGCACAGAAGGGTGCTGTCAGCACTGCCTCCGACTCTGGGCCAGCCACTGTGGATGTCTCCTGGCATGCGGGCATGATTAGCGTTTCCCTTTAGGAAGGCGAAAAGAAGGAGAGGTGAGCATGGAGGCCACACGGGTGAGGCAGATCTGGAGTGCACCCTGGGGCAGGTGGGAAGGTCCCCGTGGGCAGGTAGACTGAGCACAGCCTTTGACACCTTGGCCTCTGGATCCAGCGGTAGTAGTTGGGGGCTGCCGCTCTGGCTTCGCACTCTCATTTCCTAACCGTCTTCGTGTAAGGCGTTCCTGGAAGAATCCTGGAGATTGAGGGGTGCTGCTATCTGGGCCCCTAATAATGTTTTCAGAGTCCTGCTCTTACCAAACCACCCATCTCCCAGGACGTGTTTTTGGCACCTAACATGGCCCCACTGATAATGCAGCAGTTTTGGGAGAGACTTGGGCAGGGGACACAGGGGATGTGGATGTGGTTGTGGGTGGTGTATGCTGGTCTGGGGCAAGTTTCCAGTTGGTAGGAACGAAACCTGAGCTGACCCTGAGCATTTTCCTAAGCCCCCTGTTGGATGTGGGGGTGAACCAGCAGGCTGCCCAGTAGGGCTGGATCTTCATCAGAAAGATGGAGTTTTCTCACAACAGCTTAGGCAGGTGGCTCATCTCCTCCGAGCCCCACTTCCGCCTCAGAGATTGGGATGGGTCACAGCCTCAAATGCCTAGAGGGGCTTTGTAATGCCAGATCCCCCTTCTACTCTCCCCACCCTGTCCCGCCCACAAGCCTCCTCAGAGCCTGAATGTGATGACCCCTAATGGCTGGAGTGGGGTGGGAGGTGTAAGGGGATAATCACTCATGGCCTCTGGCAATGGTCCCGCTTCCGTGACTTGCTGGGGGGGGGGAGGGGTGAGGAGGGGTGAGGATCTCTGGGAGGTCAGCTGAGTAGCTGGGGCCAGTGGGGGAGAGGGCTTGATAGAGTTAAGAGACCCTCCTATGGGGGATCCTCCAGTCTGGACGCCTCCTTCTAGGTTGTCCTTCAGAGGCCACTGACTTCCCCAACCCCGGTGCCACCATCAGAGGTGCTGCCAACAGCAGCCCAGGAGGGGCAGCCGGAGTGGGCTAGCTGGGTGGCTTTTAGCACGACCCTTCTCCTTTCTGGACCTCAGTTTCCTCCTTTTGTAAAACAAGTGGGTTAGACTAGATAGCAGTGGTTTTCACACCCCCATCCCCCATGAATTCTCTCACAGAACCCCAACATCTAGTGTGGATGAAGTGAAACTGCTCTGGGTCCCCTTTCTCACACTGCTGGCTCCTGGAGCAGAGTCTAAAATCCCCCAGATGGCCTCTGAGGCCCCTTTCTGTGAGGCTCTTAGGAAATCAGAAGTATTGCCTAGTACCGTGGTCGGCAAACTGTGGCTTGCGAGCCACATGAAGCTCTTTGGCCCCTTGAGTGTGGCTCTTCCACAAAATACCACGGCCTGGGTGAGTCTATTTTGAAGAAGTGGTGTTAGAAGTTTAAAAAAAATTTGGCTCTCCAAAGAAATTTCAATCGTTGTGCTGTTGATATTTGGCTCTGTTGACTAATGAGTTTGCTGACCACTGGCCTAGTGTGAGGGTTGGGGGCAGGAAGGTGAATTCTAGAGGTTCCATTAAGAGAAATCTGGGCATTAAGAGGGGCCTCATCGTTGAAATGTCTGCAGCTGATGGTCTATGCCTCTAAGCAAAAGCTGTCGCTGTGCCCCTCCCCTCTGCCATGTGGTTTTATCTTTGCCGGCCCAGAAACGGGCCTGTGCCTCTGGGTCCTAATTTGTGACTGTAATCCCCCCTGTGAGTTTCTCCCTTTTAGTTTCTTGTTTCTACACTAAAATGCAAATTCATCGTGGGGACAGATATGAGGAAAAGGCTTTTGGCTGTTATCAGCTGTTTTTGCCTGATGAGGTATCATCCTTTATGGGGCGCCTGCTGTATACCAGCTACTACAAGGGGACAGAGGTGAGACTGTTTCAACCTCTGCCCTCTTGGGGCTCCAAGACCATAGGCAGGAGGGACCATCCAAACACTACTTAAAAGATTTTACATATGTTATCTCATCTCTCCCATAAGGTAGATATTAGACTCACTTTTTAACTATATAAAACTGTGTACAAAGTAAGTATACAACCTATAAACCCATGGAACCACCACCCAGATCAGGGAGCAGCATTCAGCATCCAGACCCCCCTGTGTTTCCTTCTGGGCACAATTGCTCACCCAGGGACAACCACTGTCCGAACTTCTAGCACCATAGAGTAGTTTTGCCCAAGTGGAAGCACACATTATGAAGTCTTTCATGTCTCGCTTCTTTCATTCAACATTTCGTTTGTGAGTTTCATCTGTGTAGTTGCAGATAGCAGTGGTTTATTCTCATTGTTGTTTAGTAATGCCATTGTTTTGGGAGAATGGGAAAGGTCTGTTTTGGCTGTAATATAGGCTCCGTGGTGGGGAGGGGACTAAGGTTGGGAAGGTGAGTTGGGGGCCAAACTGGTGGGCCTTGTTTGCCTTTGGGGTCCCCCTGCCCTCACCCTAGCCATCCAGGATGTGGAGCCCCAGGATGGGGCTTAACCTTTTGCTGGGGAGCTGGGGTTGCTTCAAATCCAGCTCGGGTCCTGATAACAAATGTCCCTGGCCCCCTGCCAAAGGCAGATCTTTGCTGTTCCTGAGGCCACTCTCAAGGTATCTGCCAACAGAATTTTTTTGGACGTCTCTGTGTCCATCTAGCTGTGTGAAATCAGTAGTCTCACCTCCCTGCGACCTATCCCCACCCCTGCCCCACGAGGACCCGACCCAAAAAAGTTTATTTGGAAGATGGTGGGTAGCCGTCCTGCCACCCACTGGCCTTGTCTCAGGAGACTTGCCAGGATTGGTTGGACTCCCGATTCTGGTTGAGCCAAATTTGCCAGGAGGATCCCAGACCTTTCCTCAAGAAAGGAACGGAATTGGTTGTCTTAATGGCTGTGGGAAGCAGAAGCACAAACAGTCGTCTGGGATGAGTCTAACTGTAAGAGGAACAATCATCCTCTTTCTTTTTGCCCAGCAGTTTATGCCCCTATCACAATGGGCCCTTACACAGCTGTGAAGTAGGCGATATCAATGTTATCACCCCTGTTTACCGATGAGGGTAAAAGGGTGCCAACTCGCTGTGAGTCACATGGCTGACATGCAACCAGACTAGCCTAGAACGGGCTCCTGGAGCCTGCTCCTCTCCGTATCCCACCCTCGCCGGGCCCTGGCCGAGCAGAGGGAAGACACAGCAGGAAGGAGGATGTGTGGTGGACCGTGAGCGCCCACGGGCAGGAGGTCCTAGGCGGCCTGAGAGAAAGGCTGGGTGCCGGGCCAGTGCGGTCTGGAGGTCTTCAGGGATGCGTGTGCATCCTGGTAACAGAGCTCTCGTCTGCAGCGGACTAGAAATGGAGAAAGGCGGGTGAAATGTACACACCACCTGAGCATTAGAACAGCTCCAGCCACTCGACATGGATGAAACATGCCCTTACGTAATGGGGCCTCCACCCAGCCTGGTGAAAACAGTCTTTTGGGGTTCACGGGGCCCGGGCGTGGTTGGTATCTGATTGGCAGGCAGAAGAAAAGCTTGGCCGAAATGAGCTCTGAGAGGCCCGTGATAATGACTCTTGAAAGACACATCCACAGGCAGCCGGTGTTATCTTGGTGACTTGGCACACTGTGTCCTGGGCCCTGCCCTGAAGGGTGGCATGTGGCCGTCCCAGGAATGGGTGAGCGCCTTGGCTCGGGGGACCCCAGGGCACGGCGCAGAGCTGCCCTGGCTTTCAGTGCGGCGTCCTGGGCAGCAGAGCGAGCTCCATTCGACAGATGAGGAAACCGAAGCTCCTGGCAAGAGATGAGGTCACAGAGCTGGCTGTGGGCAAAGCTGGAACCAGAACCTCAGCCTCCCGGCTCCTGACGCCCCGTTGTTATTTGTCACGGCACCCCCGCCCGGCTTCCCCTCGGGGTGATGAGTGAGAGAGCTTACAATCAGTTCAGACTCGCTTTCCGGTGGCACAGCCCGGGGATTGCTGAGGTCATGAAAATCCCTTACCTTTTGACGGCATTTTACAGTTTATGAGATAATTTCAGGATTTGCGGTTGGCTTTTACAGTATTAGCCCCTCTTACAGACAGGGAAGCTGAGTCTCCCACAGTTTAAATGACTCGTCCAGTCAAAACGGGGACTGGAACCCAGATCTTCCGACTCAAAAAACGAGTGCTTTTTCTCCTGCCTCGCGGCTGCCCCCTTCCCCAGTGGACCTGAGTTCCCGGAGAACAAGTCGCTGAAGTTGGCATGGTTCGGTTTCTCTGAACTTGTTCAGAGCAGATCTGAATAAGTGAGGACTCTTTCTCTATCTCCCGAGCAAATATGAGTTCCTCTAAAAATCAAACCAGAACCATGCCCATGGGTCACAGGTGAGGAAAGGCGCGAGCAGGGCAGTTCTTGAACGAGGACCATTGTGGATTATTGTGAAATTATTCGCTCCCTCGCGGCTGATTACTTTTAGGCTCAGACTCTTCGGCTTGTGCCAGTTTACACACCTGTCCTAATCTCTCTTTCAGGGCTGTATGCTCCAGGCCTCAATGAGGAGCCCAAACATGGAGGCCTTCAAGCAGCAGAAGGTGGAGGACTGTTACGACATCGGAGAGGAGCTGGGGAGGTAAGAGGCCGGGAGAGGCGGAGGGGATGCCGGAGGGAGACGAGGATACACTGCTCCTGGGGCCCTTGTCAGTGGATCTTGTCACAGAATTCGTGGGAAGCTTTCAAAACAATCCTGAAGTTTATTTATTTAATTTTTATTTATTGGGGGTGATATTGATTAATAAGTGTAATAACTTTCAGGTGTACAATGTTATAAAACATCATCTGTATATTGTAATGTGTGTTCACCACCCAGTGTCTATGAGGTTTTTTTGTTTTGTTTTTTGCTCAATTCATTCACAGTTTTTATTCAGCCCCAACCCCCTTCCCCTCCGACTGTCAGTAATCCTGAGGTTTATTTATCGTTGTGGGAGGCTCTGCAAATAGTCATCTCTCTCTGAAAATAAAGACACAGGTAGAAGGGCTAGAATTGGTGAGCTCTGTGTTTTCAGTATATTCTGGCTGAGAGTTATGGTGAATCCAAACGATTCTTGGGTTATCTGTCACTGTTCTCACAAAGCCCTCCTCAGACTTTGGACTGAGACCTGACCTGTGGTTTTCTTCTCTGAGTCCCACTTGACATTCTCCACGGCTCCCAGGATTTTGTTTCATAAGCTCAGAGGCTGATTGGGAGGTGAAGTAATCCTCCTGAAAGTGGATTTGCATTGAGTAACAAGCCCCAGGAACATAGCCATGAAGGTTCGGAGGATCTCAGTTACTGGGTGTCTTTTCAGATTTGCTAAACACGGAACATAACCAGAGCTAACCTCTGAGACCTGAAAGGAGTTCCTATTTGGAGAGAAATGAAGATTTTCCCAAAGCTCTCTTGCTCCATTTCGAACAGATGCTACTATTTAGATGGTGTTTTAGTGATTATAAAACAGTAGTCCTGAAGTTTCATTCTCTCAACAGTGCATGAGATGGGACATTAAATATATATATTTAAAATATATTTTTATTGATTTCAGAGAGGAAGAGAGAGGAAGAGAAAGATAAAGACATCAATGATGAGAGAGCATCACCATTCGGCTGCCTTCTGCCTGTCTCCCACTGGGGATTGAGCCCACAACCCTGGCATGTGTCCTGACTGGGAATCGAACTGTGACTTCCTGGTTCATAGGTCAATGCTTAACCACTGAGCCATGCTGGCCAGAAGAAATGGGAATTGTTTTACTCTCATTTTTCAGATGAGGAACCAGGTCTGGCCAGCTCAGTGTGTAGCTGCACACCTCCTGTGCTCTGTCCTCTGAGCCCGGCACTTGCACCCTCCCACGTGCTCACCGGGATACCCAACCTCAGTCTTTCCCACTCCCAGCAAAGTAAAAACCTGTGGGTGTAGGGCCTCCCTGTATCCAAGAGGCAAAGCAGGAGGCCCTTCCTCTTTATAGAGTTCATGGGTCAGGACTCATTCTTTACTTACTTTAATTCCCAAAGACAAAACAGAGCCAGACTCTGAGGAGAATGGGAAGTGCAGGTGCTTCAAGTTCAGGCGGTGCTTGTCCGGGGTGACTGGATGGCTGGGTGCATGGGAGCAAGTGCTGCAGAGACCACAGGGGGGATGACTTGTCTGCCTTATTTCAGAGACCGGCTGACATAGGCAATCCAGGGCCCGTGAAAGGGTGGGAGGAGGACAGAGGGCCAGGAGCTGAGGGTGGCAGTAGGAGTCTGCCTCTGAAAGAGAGGCCAGGCTCTCTGCCCTCTGGTTTCTCCTGACCTTGATGACACTAGGGTAAAGTGGCATCCTCAGCAGCAGACCCTGCCAGTGGCATCTGATTCAGTGGCCCAACCTTGGCCACATCCTGTGTGTAGGGGTCTGTGCTAAGTGCTGTGGGTACAAAGACAAAGAGGACACAGGTAGTCTCTACCTTCCTGGAGCTCGTGCGCACGCGTGCGTGTGTGAGTGTGTGTGTGTGTGTGTGTGTGTGGTGGGGGCCACACACATGACAAGGTGGAGTTGGATTGGACTGGCACCAGAGCTGGGAACTGAGGAAGGAGACCTTGAAGAAGGAAGTAGAAGCCGCTTCCTAGGGAACCATCTGTTATTCCTCCCTAGTCCTGTCTTTTCCCCGTGCACCGCACTGGAGCTATTAGACCTAGAGAGATCTCACGCTTTCTAATCCTTCCCTGTAACAGGGGGTGAAGGCCCCATGTATCTCACAGCCTGGGGAGCCTGAGGGACCCCACCTACTTTCCTAAAGCGCTAACCAGACGTGGAGTGGGAGAGAGGCCGTAGAGGCCTTAGGAATGGCTTGACCTGCTCGGATTGGTGGTCTGGAGGTCAGATGAGTGGAAGGCCATTCGAGGTCCTTTCTAAGAGGCCCTTCGTCTGACAGTGGTGGGAACTGGGGCTCAGAGAGGGAAAGGTCTTGCCTGAGGCCATGGACTGGAAATAGAACTGCCTCCAGATGACTGCTCAGCTTCTGAAGGGACAGGCCTACCTTTCTCTCCTCCTCTTCTTTTCTTCCCTTAACATACTATGAAGGACCTGCTGTGTGCCAGGCACTGCCCCAGGTAGGGGCACACAGCAGGAATATGCCTGTCCTCTTGCAGCTTATGCTCTGTTAGTGGAGAAAAGCACTAAACACGTGAATGAGGGCACAGATGCATCATTTGAGCATGTGGGGAGGGCTATGAAGGAGAGAGCGGGTGCCCTAAGAGAGACCAGGGGATGCAGGCTTAGACTGAGGGTCAGGGAAGGCTGCTCTGAGCAAGAGCCTGTTAACTGGAGAACCGAGGGGTTAATAAGCAGGTAGAGGCAACAGCATGGACATAGGCCCAGAGATGGGGAAGAGCCCGGGGCCTGAGTTGCTGACAGGAGGCCAGTGTGGCCTCAGAACATGAGCTGGGGGCAAGCAGTGCTAGATGAGGTTGGAGACATATGTGGGGCCTGAGGCAGCCAGCAAGCTCCCTGTCAGCACAGGATGGTGGAGAGGCTTGGCCTTAGGGTAAGGTGACTAGACGTCCCGCTTTTGGCGGACAGTCCCGATTTTTAACAATTTGTCCGGTGTCCCATGGCGTTTTAAAAAAGTCCTATTTTTTGAAAGATTCTTTTAAATCTTTTGGACTTTTTTGAAATGCCACGGGACTCGGGACAAATTGTTAAAAATCGGGACTGTCCTGCCAAAAGCGGGACGTCTGGTCACCTTGCCTTAGGGGCCACACAGATTGCAACCTTAGGACAACTTACTCAACCTCTCTGGGCCTCAGTTTTCTTACCTGTGTGATGGAAATAATAACAGTACTGACCTCACAGTTGTGGGGAATAAATGAGATGCTTGAGTCTATAGTTCCTCACAGAGCCAACCACAGGGTACGTGTTCAGTTAAACAAGAGCTTCTGGCCTTTGAAGTAAATTCAAGGCATCAAGGTCCTGCCTCCCACCTCTCCCTAGGAGAAGGGGCGGGACTCCGCAGGAAAACAGCATGTGGAGGGAACAGTCATTCTTATTTTAGAGAGAGCTGTGTGTGCCCCTGCTTCCTGGGCTATCAGTGAGTACCCTGGCCTACACTCAGGGCTTTCTTGTTTATTTTAGCTCCTCATTAAGTCCTTCCTCTGCAACAATGAAAACGAATGACAGTCACTTTTCATTTTTACCTGTACCGATGGACGACACTCACATAATGCTGAGTAAAGGAAGCCAGACTCCACGAGCCCATAGTATATAATTCCATTTGTGTGAAGTTTGAAACAGGCCAAGTGAGTCAGATATGCCAGAAGGTGGTTATGTGGGGGACTAGTGACTAGAAATAGGAACAAGGGGGACTGGTGGGGCATAGGGGTTGTTCTGTTTCTTGATCGGGGTGCCTGTTTCACTCCTGTGTTCATGTCATGAAAATAGATTAAGCGGTTCATGTTCATGTGCATGTACATTTTCCTATAGGTATATTATACCTTAGCTAAAACCATGTGTTAGCAAGCAAAGAATCTTTTACTTCACTTCCTGCCCTTGTCTGGTCCCTGAAGTACATGTTTTTGATTCATTTGGAGGCCTTGTTTGTCCTTGTACTACAAGTAAGAACATCTGTGAGAAACGGTGCAGCATCTAGCTTCGGATGGGGACAGTGTGCCCTGGCTGGACCGCTCCTGACCCTGCACATCTCACCTGATTTCCAGCTCCCTGGGCCGAGTGCAGTTGTGGGGAATAAATGGCTGCACTCACATTTTGGCAGCAGCCTGCTGGGGATGCTGGACAGTTGGAGACATGCTGGCTTGCAGTTTCTGGCCTTTACCAGACTTGGTAGCCACCTAGGGCAGAGCAGGGGTATATCAGAGTAGAGCTCATAAAGGAAAAGCCACTCGACCCCTCATTTTATAGACAAGGCTAGGATCGGAGAGAGGAAGTGGCTTGTACAAGGTCACATGGTCAGCCAGTGACAGACATGTGGGGACTGGAGGTCTGACTCCTAGCCTAGGGCTCTGGCCACACCATAAGGACCCACAGAGCTCAAACTTGTTTTTTCCTTTATTTTGAATGCTTCTGGGGAGTGGGGGAGAATATGCGTTTGTATAAGACGTATTGATTGTTACCACAGAATATGTGGTAGGGTGGTCATTTCTGTTTGACCTTGAAGGTCAAGGGTCAGAGTCAGGAGGCGAACATTTTGGAAGGCGTTATATTCTCTAGAGGAAGGGTGCTGGTACTTAGGTCCAGTGTTGAATACCGCATGCACAAGGACACAAGGTAATTCAGTAAAAACAGCATGCAATAATCAGTGGTTTCTTCTTCTATAGTGGTTTCTTTTACTTAGATGATCAGATTATTTTATTAACATACAATTATTGAATGTTACTGTTGAACTGGATCTCGACAAGAATTTAGTCCAAATCTCCACTTTATAGGCAAGGAGAGTGAGGCCCAGAGCCGGGAGGTGACTTGTCTAAGGCCACAAAGCAAGCAGCAAAGGAGGCGGAATTTAAAGAAGCTTTCCAACTACATTGTGCTGGTTTAAACAAACAGAAAAACCTATCCACATGTACATTCAACTTTTATCCACAGTCCGCACCTCTCTCAGGGAGCCT